TGCGAGGGGGTAGCGTGGCAGCACGAATTTGGTTTTCCAAGTAGGACCACAAATGCTCTATTGGATTAAGGTCATGTGAATTTGGGGGCCAAGACAAGACTTGAAAGTCACTGGAATGTTCCTCGACGATTCGACCCTTATGACATGGTGCATTATCCTGTTGGTAAACACCAAGCCCCGCAGGAAAAACTGTTGTCATGAACCTGGTCTGCAACTATGTTTAAGTAGCTTACAGGCGTCAGGGATTGTTCTATGAGGATTATGGGTCCTAATGTGCACCATGAAAACATTGTTCCTGGGCGAGAAACCACGAAAACCTGGGCGAGCCCATTGTTATAGATGGAGAGTGGTCATAATGTAATGGCTCTTCGGTGTATATATAATATTTTAAATTCGATCGTAAGGAAGTTTCATCCACACTTATATTTAAGTGTTTACTGCAAAGAAATCTAGTTCAAAAATTAAATTTATGTTCATAAACTAAAGAAATTTTAAGTTACATTGAAAATCTCCAAAACAACCCTCTCAGACGAAGTCTTAACGAAAATGAACACTTGAGTTTTATTATGTTGGTTTCTGGAAGTAAAAATGTCGTTACATAAAGAACGAACAAAAGAAAATATAAACAGTCAGTGATAATTTTGTCGTTAAGTTGAAGAGGTGAGTAAAAAATAGCATTTCAATAAGACTTTTCGCACAAGTGCCATTATATCAGGCTATTTTACGAACACTGTTTTTTTTAACCTCTCAAACGAAGATAATTTTTTTGAAATTTTAGGGAATATAACTTTATACAATGTTTTTAAGTAACTTAATCTTTCTTTTTTCTGAAAATACAGTTTGACAATGCAAGGATACCTAATAAAATCATGCCACTTTTGAAAATAAGCCGAACCACAGATTTTGTTGAATAAATAAATTAAGATTGGCAAGTTGATGTGTAATTTTTATTTTAAACTTTTACGAAATATTAGAAAACAGATAAATCATTTTCTGTTTAAGTTGTTTCTACTTTGAAACATACAGCAATAAAATATTTAGTATATATTCAAATAACAAGACGCAAATTATTCATAGAAATTATACATTTTAATGAAATTTCATAAATTAGATGAGGAAACTTATTCATTAAAGCAAACATTTATGACTTATTCTGAGAGTAGTTAAATTTTTACATTACACAAAAGTTAATTACAATTGAAAAGTCTTCAGAATAATAACAATATTTCTGAATCGCATCATCTTTTATTCTTCATTAAATAAAGTTCCTTTTAGAACGAAAAAAATCAATAACAATTCGGTGATAGTAAATGTTCTAAGACATTAAGAACTCTATTTACATGACATCACAGTAAAGACACCGGTAGAACTCTATTTTTACAGCAGAATTATTAGATAATTTGCTAATTACGAAATAAAGGGAAGCAAACAAAATGGGAATATTTTCATTTGTGTTTAACATAATAAAAGCTACGAACAACTGTAATTATCACAGAAAATCCTTAAAATTATCATTTTTAAATCGGAATAAAAGACATTAACAGTAGGTGAAAAGGAAAAGATGAATTTCGCAATAAAAAAATGAAGTTTAATTGTATTTGGCCAAGTAGTTGTACTTGAATAATTTGAGATTGTTTGAAAATGAAACTTTATTGTATTGTTTTTAAGCTGTTTTAAATTTTTTTAAAATCAATACTTACTAATCGCTTTGCCGTCGGACTAACCGTGAGAAGTTTTCGAAGTTTTCCTCTCCATGTAACAATGATTAATCCAGAAGTACTCTTGTCTTACGGATTGGGTACAAAACTACAAGGCGATGGAGATGAACATTGATAGTCGTAAACTCATAATCGGATCGGTTATTCAACGGCACACCGTGGAACAAAAATCATTTTTCGCGGTCAAAAATAAAAAAAATCTCAATGTGGTTTTTTTGTAGTAAAATGTCCAAGGAATATGAAGGTGTATTTTTTTTTTGGTTTATTAATGGAAATAGCAATTAAATAGAAACAATGTTGAAATAAAAAAAATTAAATTTTTCAGTTAAATTTTTATTAATATGATAAATCCTTATAGTAAATAAAAATATTAAAACTATGCATGATTTATACATAAATGTATTTCTAAGATATATATGAATTCATTATTTAATATAAATACTATTAAAACCAGAGCCATTTCCCTATTTCTGCCCTGTACAATGAAATTGTAACTTTAGGGTGCTCTATAAAAAAAGCCTTACGTTGCCGAGGTAGAAAAAAAATTCTACATTTGTTTGGTATATATACTCAAGAACTAAAAAAAAAAATTAGCTGCGGATATTTGCGAAGTTGGCTGATATGTCGATTTTTATAGTTCATGTCATTTTTATAATAATGATTTTCTTATACCTACAGGGCTGAACAATCTTGTCATTTTTTTAAATTGCTGCTTAAATTTTCAAAATTTCGTATATCTAGCAAAATAGATTCATTATTTTTTTTAAATTCGATAATCGAATATGTAATTAACAATCTTAAATATTTTGATTCAATTTATTTAGTTTAAATTTGTTTTGATAAATATTTGTGATTTTACATCCCTTACTTTATTTATTAAAATTATTAACCACAAATTTGTAATCAAAGATCTCAAAAACTACTAGTAAATAATTTTTATTTATTTATTTACAATTTTTTCAATAATCATCCGCCATTTTGGATCTGCCATTTTGTTTTTTTGAAATTTTGACTTCATATTTGAAATCAGCGACCCAAAAAACCTATAGGTGATCAATTTTTAGAACATTGAAGTTAATTTTCTAATTTTGGCCGCATTTTTCTGATTTCGTCCCACTGTGCAGCAGTTATAAAATAAAATATAAAAAAATATTTAATAAAGTAATTATTATCTGTTCATATAAACTAATTTTGTTCATAGGAACTAATTGAAATAAAAATATAAGCAGTATACTAAAAAGCAGGATTAATGGAGAATACTAATCCATTTAGAGAGGAGAAAAAAATTGCCAAATTGTTATTGGTGTCAATGATGCTTAATTAATTTTTGTAATATTTTCTTATTTAAATAAAAAAAATTGTAAACTATGTATTAAGAACGAAATTAATGGAGAAATGGTACCAATTCAATCAAGAGAAACATAAAATATCGTCATACTATTATTGGCGCCAATAACGCGTAATTAATTTTAGTTGTTGTTGTTTCTTATCCTCTTATTGTCTGACGAAGTCAGAGAAGATCCAGTAGGTTGATTAATTTTAGTAATGATCTGTACTGGTATTGAAGTAATTCGCGCAATTTTAATAAATACCAAATATACTAATATAGGTGCAGTTGGCATACTTGGCGTCTATAAAAACCGTATTAATACTGTGCAGTCTTAAAAGAGATAGTTTAGAGAGAAGTTTTTACGGGCTTTTGAAAGGGATAAGTACCAGAGAAAATCACTTGATTGTGGTAAAGCTTGATTATGATGAGTTGACCTCGACCAACAGCATCATGCTAAATGATACTGAATGGAGTTAATATTTATTTTGATAGGATGAAACACTGAAAACGTGTTTTTTTTTTAAATCTAATAACGTAAAGCCACCAATAATTACGGAAAATAACATAAATTTAAAAAAAAATTGAATTATTTTTGCTTTATTAATTGTTTTGGTTTATTTGGCTTTATTAATTGTTTTAAAGTTTTGTACATGATTTGATAGTGTTATTCAATACCGATTTACTGATAGCTTACTTTTTTACATCAAGAACAGTTATTCGGCTCAGCTAGTTATAGAGTGCAGAGAACTTTACATTCACGATTTGCGTGCTAATTCAAATCCTTAAATTTTTTAGTACTTTTCATCGGAATTCTTAAGAAATTGCATTTTTATTTCACTTTTAAATAATATTTTAAGTAAAATAAAAATATTAAACTTCTTTTCGATATCTATGTCTGTACTTATTACTATATATTTAAAGTTTCTTTTAAATATATATCTTAAAGAAAACATGTTAGTAACATTTGAACTTGTTAAACGTGACTAACATGTGTAAAAAATGAAAAGAATTTTTAAATATTTTATTTAAACAAAATAAATCTCACATATTGTATTTTATTTTCTCCTCAAATAGTCTTTATTTATTAGAATTTAAAAATATGACAAAAATAAATAAGTGTCTTCCCTAATATTTGACCATACTAAAATGTAAAAATGTTGATTGAGAAATTTAAAATATGATTACGAGTGAAAGTATTTAAACATAATAAATTAACTTTCACATGCTGTTTCGTTTCAAGCACAAATAAGTTTTCTTCTTGAAGTTCAAAAAATGATAATTTTTGATATGAACAAGTGTTTTACCTAAATGTTGAGAATCTTAAGATGAGAGGATTTTTAGATTTGTGGTTTTGAGAATATTTAATCATTATAAATTATAAATCATATGCTTTCACCTACACAAACAGCTATTCTCTTCTGAGTTTTAGATATATACGATTTTGAAGTAAATAAGTTTGTAATATTTTAACATACTTCAATGTTATACCGTTCAGCAGATTAAAATATGGTTATAAAACGAGATAAAATGTTTTAAAATGTTTGTAAATATGTTTCAAAATAACAAAATTATTAGGAAAATGATTTTTGAAGTATAATTTGATTATTAATTTGAAAAAGTTTCCTTCCGCAAACAAAAATAAAAAATATATCGATTATTAAAATTGAAAAATAACATTCATGCGCAGACGATTTAATATTTTCTGCTGTTAATTTGAAAAAAAAAAAAAAATTGCGCAGACGAATTTGAAAAAACTATATTTAAAATTAAAGAAATTTACGCATAATAAATTATCTCTCATATGTTTTCAAGTTCAAATTATGTTTTTCTTTAGAATTTTAAACAAATAAATTTTTGAAGTAAATAAGTCAAAGATTATTCTAGAATAGTCTATAAACAAATATTTCTATTTCTTTTACAAATCTAAGTAACCAAAACGTAATTTCACTTACCTTTAATTTGTGAATTTCTCTCATTAATGAATCTATCTTTTTATCTCGAACTCCCACTTCCTTTCTCAATTGGGATACATGCCCTTCTGCTTCCCTTAATAGGGATTCCAAGTTCGATACTTTTTCTTCCAATTCTCTTACTCTCATGTCCATTTCGAACGAGTCACTCTCCGATTCTTGCCTTTCCTCTGAGCGGCAAAAACTCACACTGGATCCACTCCCCATACAAGCACACACTTTTTCACGCTTGATAATACAATTCTAATTTTAGTGTAATTTTGTTTTTCCACACCTGAGTTTGTAATCACTTTTAACGTCAGTTGAAAAAAGAATTATGGGCTTTGCTTCGAAAATGAGTCAGTTTTTCGGAGTAAAGTACGATCAACTCATTTTTTTTTTACTTTTCCTTCAAAACATTCGGCGTTTCAAAAAAAAAAAAAAATCAGGTGTTTTTTGAAAGAGCTCTTTTACAAAGCAATGAATACAGCGCAATGTTTAAAATGATTTTAAACGGGCATTTTAAAAAATATGTTTTAAAATGACAAAATTATTAGAAAAACGATTTTCGAAGAATAATTTGACGATTAATTTGAAAAAGTTTTTTTCCGCGAAGAAAACTAAAAATTATATCGATTATTAAAATTGAAAACTAACATTCATGCGCAGACGATTTAATATTTTCTGCTGTTAGTTTGAAAAAAAAAATTTGCGCAGACGATTTAATATTTTCTGCTGTTAATTTGAAGAAAAAAAAATTTGCGCAGACGAGTTTGAAAAAGCTATACTTAAAATTAAAGAATCAAACACCTTATTCGATTAATGAAAACGATTAATTAATAATATTTCATTCTGCTAAAAAACCTATAATTTTAGAAATTTCAATAGTACATACAATTTATCAGCCATTAATATACAACCTGTAGTTTTAAAAACTATTACCAGCGTGATTTATTAAGGCATCATATGTTCCAAAAACATTATTTTTAAAATAATAATAATGCACACAAATTTGTCTGTAACCTTATCTCTCCGTTACTTTTCGGGATCAAACTGAGAAAAAGCAGATAAGCAAACTTTTAGTTCGTTTCTTTACTATCAAATGAACTTTTGACTAGCAGACCTTTTTATGTCATCGACCTCAAGAAAATTTTAATTCTATGTTTTTATTGGAAATAAGCAGAAAAGTATGTTTAATCGCTGATATGCGATGAAAAATGTGTACAAGTTTAGATAAGTTATATAAAAATTTGATCTATGCAACTTTATTATCACTTGAAAAAAGTTAAAAATAGATATCTGATTTTTACTTATTTCTAAAGTTCTCAGTTTTATTTATTATACAATATAGATTTATTTCTTTTCCTACTAATTCATGGTCATAAAAGTACTATTTGAGTAAAACCAAATAAAGACTTATTTGATGATTTATGACTGCTCTTCCTTGTTTGAAAGATAAAATAAGATTTAAAAGAACAAGTAGAACAAATTGAATTAAAAAAATGATTAAAAATAATAGTCAAATAAATTATAATATACTTTACTGTGATCTTAAATATTTTTCATTAAAAAAAAGATGCGTAATATCAAATTTTACCTAAATCTGGAAGAAACGGCCTTTTATAAATCTTTTATCTTGGAAGTCGTAACATCAATTTAATCAAAAATATTTATCAATTCAAAAATTTTATAAAAAAATATTAAAACATTTTTTACGATGCATTTAAATAAACTGTATTATTTCTTGATAACTGCAAGGAAAAGACTAAATTTCAGTGAATGAATCGAAATAAACAAACACCTTAACATAACGGCTTCAAGCAAAGCACATAGTTTGTTTACGTTCCAACAAGCGGTGGAGAAGTTTCACTCAAAAGTTTCCTGCTGATACTTCAGAAAGTAAGATGAGGATAAATATTTTATTTTTACTTGTTCCTCAAAGCGACGATAGTGCCATCTAGTGGAGTGAAATTTCTTGTAGGTACACATATCATTCAATTTTTATTTCTATTCTTAGTTAATGGAGATTCTTTTGTTTAAGGAATAGCAATTAGAATTTAAATTCGAAGAGGAACTTATTGAAGCATGTTTCTGAATCTGAAATTTTTTGTTACGAAGTACAGGGGTATGTTTAATTTCGAGCATGGACAAATATATCTTATTGGTAATTTTTTGTACAGTCACAATGGAATTAACACAAAAATAGTTTGGATTTGTTTTTGTTTAGCAGATTAAGCATATCATTTAGATAAAGCATATCATTTGTTAGGTTTAAATAAGTTTTGCATCAGATAAATAAAGTATATAAAACTTTTTCCCGAACATAACAGTTTTTTATTGATTTCTTTTAGATATATCAGGAATATTTTGATATATCAAGAAAGATATATCAAGATAACCAAAGGATTATTCTAACTATAAACGTATTTTTTATTTTTTATTTAAAAAGTAGTTTTGAATACAGTCATAACCACGTTTTAAACTGGACACTTTCAACAGTGGATACTTTAATAATATAACAAATTATCTAATTCCATCGCAATAAAGGGCATTAAAATAAAGCTTTAGAGTTATCGTAAGATTTAAATTTTTAATGTGTTGTGCAGTAGTTTGAAACGAATTATGCATAATACTCTTTAAAAAATTACATGTTAATGAAAAATTTAATATTGGCATAGGTTCTGATCATAAACTGATCGTGGTTTAAAGTGATGCAGCATGTGAAAACTCCCGTAAAGTTTTAAGAAAAAATAAATAAATCTATAGTTGCAAATTGTAAAATGTTCACTTTTAAGCAAAATATTCATTAAACACAAGTGAAAGGACGTATTATATAGTCCAAAAATTATAGTTTTTATTTATAATTCGAAGTAACTTCAAATTTCGGTAATTTTAAGTTAGCCGGGCGCAAAATTTAGATCTCCGCCAACTATATTTTTAAAATATTTTATTTCATTTATTTTTTGAAGCACATAAAATTTTTTTTAAAAAAAAGTTTAAAACAAAAATACTTGAACTTGAAAAATACTTGCACCCTGAATAAAAATTACCTTAATTTCTATTAGATTATTTCAATTGTTTGCTTTCATTTAAAAACCGTATTCTTTTAAATTAATGTAAAAGTCTTAAGAAACTTGATTTTCATGTTTTCGATAATATTTGTTTTCGAAAACATGAACAGGAAATTTAATTGTTTTATTTTCAGTTTTTTTACTTTAAATATGAAAAAAAGTTGGAAATTTTATTTTGTTTATTTATGTAAGCTTTCTTATATTTATCTATGGGCCCATTGAATTTTTTTTCAATTTTTGATGATACTAAAAATTGAAAGTTGTAATTGGTTCACTAAAGAGAGATCGAACAATGTCCTTGCAATAAACATTATGATCCTTTTCCCATCCAATTCAATGAATGTTAGACAAACATTAATCAAATTGAGAAGCAATTTATATTTCATATTCAATTTACACATTGCATTAACAAAAATATTGACATTTGCACGATATTTTTTCATTTGTTTTCCTATAAATAAAAATTTGAAATAATAATTGAAAAATTTCGTAACTATTTTCCGCAAAATTGATTTAAGAATGGGAAGTTATTACAATAACTTATAAAATATATGAGCTTACAAAGAATATAAAGCTTAAAACTGAAAGCATTTGAAGCTATATGTACGGAAAAATATGTAGTGGAATTTCCATTGATTTGTCGCACATATAACATTAAATAATAATTTTTCTTTCTAATAAAGAGCTTTTTTATTTCAAAGTAATCTCTTAATTATTCTCTTAATCTCACTGTAATCTTAGCCAAATTAGTCCAAACTAGTCTGCGATCTCAATGCAGCCAGACAGATATAATTGTTATCAAAATTCATCAAATCTATGTGGAGTAAAATTTGCAGGTATAAAGTCTTTAAACATTGTGTATAAAATTATGCATAAAATAATGTTTAAATTTAGGATAAATTGTATAAAATAGTACTAATAAAATGGAATAAATACAGTTAAGTCTGTTAGCAAGTAATAGAAAAAAAATTTTTTACAGTTAGTTCTTAGCGGTGTTCTTCCAATTCAACTTTTTAATTTTTTTGGGAAACAAGTTTAGCGATGTTTTTAGAAAGATGTATCATCGTCCCCCCTTTTTTTAGTTACTTTCTAAAAAGAAAATTTACGAAGGTAAAATATTCTGAAGGTGCTGTAATAATATGCAGCACCCGCTGCCTTTGTGCTGAGTTTCTGCCTTTAGGTATATCGCCAGAGTATTAACTTCCTCTATTTTCGTCCGATTACATACAATATTTAATAATGAATGCAATATCATTATAAAGTTATACTCCGTTGCAAGTTAAGAAAAGACCATTGTTGTAAATGGTCTAAGTAATCATCCACAATTGCATAGTTCCGCTTTATTTCATTATCTAATTTTTTAAATATGCTCTCAAAACAATTTAAAAGCTTTTAAAAGTTAGACACATCATACAGATATTTAATTCGTGCTATCTTTTACTGTATAGATCACCGAATTACTGAAAAAAGTTTATAGTTTCGAAGTCTTACTGGAATCCTACATTTGGCGACGTATTTCGCGATAAATAAGGAAAACATTCTATCTTGAAAAAATAAACAAACAAATTATATGACGTTGCAAGAGCATTTGATTTGATTGAACCACTAAAAATGGAGGTCCTATGCTGACATGCCCTTAACAAATCAAATGTGAGTTAAAGAATTTTTATTTACGTTTCACTGATGAAGGAAATAATATGTAAGAAGCAATATTTATTATGCTGTCATGAATTTCTTTAAATTAGAATAGAAAAACGTACATTTGTTACGATCATTGGATATAACTTTTATTGATTCTTATTACTTGTTAATTGATCATTAAATAACTTTTCTTTTCCTTACTTCACACGATTTAAGAAAGAAAGCAAAAAGGGAGGCCGCGCAACGTCGTTTCAAGAATTAGCGATGTTGATATACGTTCGAGCTAGGAGCTTGGCATCCATTTGGCTTATACTTAGATGCAAACTAGTTCTCTCCATGGAAATAATGTTTTTTTCTTAGCTTGCAACAGAATACATAGTATTTTTTAGCGCGTTTTTAGCTTTTGATTATTTAAATAGCAAACTTTGGCTATTAAGATTTTTTTTAATAGTTTCACCATTTTGTTAAAGCTTAACGGAAACAATGTAACTATGTTATGTTCAATGCAATCTAATGGTATAACACATGCTTATAAATTACGAAGCAAATTTTATTTTAGAGATAGGAAATATTATATATATCTTTAAAAATAGAAGTCATTGGCAACAAGCACTTATAGTTTCTCAAATATATTTGAATTAGCTAGTATTTATTATTTATTTTTCCTTTAATCATATAGGCTTCAGGTATAAAAATTTTATATAGTGTTTAACTAAGTTCTTATAACAAATAAGCAAGTTCTTATAACAAATAAGCAAGTTCTTGTAACAAATAAGCAAGTTCTTATAACAAATCCTGAAATCTGATATAAATAGATTATAATCTATTTATATCAGATTTTAGGATTAATTAATTAGATTAATTAATTTCACTGAAATAATAACTTTTACACCATTTTTAATAAAATAAATCTTATCTTTTAATAGTTATTTTTTAGCTGACTTTTTTAAG